TATATATATATATTAGATTGCACACATGATGCATATACAATACATAGAAATGCATAGATTTTATGAAAATCTTGACAATACTAAATGACAATAATGTAAAACATTTTTACAAAACTACTTCTTTAGAGCATGGGCAAAACTACTGTAGCCTAAAATCCATTTACAATCAAAAATTATATATTTAATTTGACATGATACCAATAGAAAATTATTTTACAGTGCCCATAGTGGATATTTTAGAAATTGATAGTTTAAATATTCATTACATAGCCAATGACCATGATTTTTCTATGTGCCTAGTTGATTCTTTAAGGCATGCCTCACATGTATCATCTTCCAACTTTGTGTCTTTTGTAGCCCTGATGAAGGGGGGATGTTGGGCCCCCAAAACCCATTGCCTGTTTTTTGTTTGTTTCTGTCAAAAAGACAATAAGACTCTAAGAACATTTGTTTGGCACTTTCTTTATCTGAAATACTTTAACAAATACACAGTACTCTAGCGGGGGTGAAAACTTAGTGGCTGTTGAAATGTGGCTGCTGAAAAGCCAACCTAATGCTGCGTTATTTTTCAACAATGATTTGTGACTCTAGTGCAACGATAGCCAAACCTTGTCCCTCCAGCTGTGATGACACTACAAATCTAATAAGGCATTGCAAGACTGACAGCCACAGACATGACTTTGAATTTCTTGGAATGGAGTTGCTTTTTAGTTCATATTAGTCACTATAGGCCAAATATAATGGACTATAATACAAATCATATTCCATGATTCAACAAAAAGTTTATTAGGGATGACACAACATTGAAAAACATAATAGATATGATGGCATTTTCATACAGAATACACCATTTATTTGAAATCAATATGTGCAGGTAAAATATCTTTTTTCTTCCCCAGGATAATTGATGGTAATATTGTGTGAACTAAAAGGACCACCAGTTGTGTATTTATGTTGTTTTCACTTTCAGTACTATAATGAAAATTTCACATTATTTACGAAGACGTATCTTTGAATGCTTTGGCAAAGGAAGCTAGTTGTGCTTTCAAGCAACAAACTAGTTGAACATCACAATGCCAAACAAAAGAGAAAAAGAAGCAAACCACTTTTCAATGATACTATAGGCTAAAGAATCTACAATAAAGGACAACATACATGATACATAACTGCATTAGATAGGTTTGAAAGAACACTGAAAAAATTGCAGCAGTTTCTCAGTTTTAAGACATGAATATCTGTGGAAATTGTTCAGTCTGCTCAGATAACTATACAATTACTAGTAAAATCTCCTGCAGTGCAGCAATTCAGTACAATATAGACTTAGTGAACAGGAAATAAATGTTGTATATTGAAAATGGTAAAAGTTCAGTCCAACTTAACGAGTCACAATATACTGCATCTCTATGTATGTACTGTCTGTGTTTAAGTGAATGCTTTACTTCTACTATGAAAAATTCATGACAAGTGTTCTATTAGTGAATATGCATTGTGGATCCGTCATTCCACCATAGGAACAAAGTAGACTTTAGGCAAGTGGGTGTCGTAAATGACAATGAGACATTTTTGTCCTGAATTCAGTCACCGAGCACCATACCACCATGACTACCAGAAAACAATATGGCGCTGATTCATCAACCACTTAAGTCATAAATAAGCACTTATGGTGTGCTAAGATGATGAAGTGTATTTACTGAGATGTTACTTTTACATTCCTTTCAGGCTGAAGTGAAGTGCTTTTGCAGCATAATGAATCAGGGTTTATGTGTGGATAGAGCCCGTTGAATGAATTGGATGAAGGATCAAGATTCTTCACAAGAGAATTGCATTGCGTGCAACCAGTAAAGTCCTTTATACTATGAAAAATCTGCCATCGATGCAACAATTTTTCATGCTTTATGTGCAAAGTCACATACTTTTGGGCCAACCCTTTAAACCTCCAAAAGCAATCCACAACACCATCCTTTTTTTAAAAAATTAAGACTAGTAGGCCAGAAGTCTCGGACATATGTCTCTCTTGTCTTTACATTTCAATAGGAAAAAACTTTGGACAAGGATGATGTCTGCAGGACATATGGCTCAGTGATATGAAGTGTACTATAGTAAGTAGGACAATAGCAGCATAATTACAATAAATAAATTCCTCATGTGTTTCTGCTTTGGAATCTTGGATATTTCCCTCTGTTTTCATAAAGCACAATTTTATATGTCAAACAAATCTGAAGTTTCAAATGACTTTGTTGATATATTTTAAGCAAATAGATTTTAATGCTTTAAGAAGGATCCTTAGAGTAATAGTCCACCAAATCACTGTTCTGACAAAGCACAAACAAACCAGTGATTGCATACAAGTGAACAAATTGGATTCTGTTCCATTTACAATTCAGTACAATATAGCTTACTTCTTGCTTTCATGCTTGTTTTGTTTTTCATATGATTTGCCAAGCTTTTTTAGGACAGGCATAAGTCTGTAACAGTTAACATTGTAGCCTCAAGTGTGCCTGTTGTTTCAGTAGCCCAAAATGAAATGTCCACCGACATCCTCATCTTTTTGCATAAGTTACTCTAGTTTTTGAGTAAAATTTTCTGGGAATAGTCCCTTGTATGGATCACAAACTCTGTACTGCTGCCAGTCGGATTCTCTCACACCAGTAAGCCAACCAGCCTCCTGCAAAAAGAAAGTAGTTTTTATTATAAGGGTAAACTATTTTTCATGTTCACTTTAAAGTGTATTTCTACTTTTGAAGCCAAATAAGGATAACACCTACTTTATATATATATATATTACATGTTCTCATTCACATAGCAAATGTTAAAAAATAAACATTTCTACTTACATTTTTAGTGCTTTATACTTACTTAAAATCTTACCTAGCTCCCCCTGTATGTAATGTTAAGGAGGGGGCTGTGCAAAGTTATGTTTACTTTAATTAACCCTGTCTGTACTGTGCTGGCAGATTTCATTATGAGTTATAAACAAGATTAAAGGGTTAAAGAATTAGAAGTATTGTATGTTAATGAAAGTAAGCTCAGTCTGTCCCTGTTTTACCCTCTATTTTCACTTTCAAACTGCTCGGAGTGGATTGGAATCTGCACAAAGGCCTTCAACAAAGACATTTCTAAAAGATAAGAAATATATAGGAAAAAATATATTTTTAAGTATCCTCTGTGAATACTGTATGAAGACATAACAAACATATAGTGGGGTTTTCTCTAACTTTAAAGTGGAACTACACTTTAGAGTGTAACTTTGTCTTTTGTACAATGTCTTGTCTTTTCAGTGATATACATTGCAAGAATTTCAGCAAACTTCACTTCCTGCTGTTTATCTAAACCCACAGATGGGTAACCCTCAATTGCTGTTTGCAGAAGCCACTTTCTGCTTCCTACAGCCTGAGATGGTCTTTCTGCTATAGTCCCATAATCAGTCCCAGTGTTGTAATAGAAAACAAAATAATGGGAAATGCAATGCGCTAATTGAATAAGTGTACAATTACAAGTCTATATTCTTGCCTGCTCATGGGACTGCTGACAGCTATGTAAAGTCTAACAACTTACCCAAACCATAATTAGACAAGTTACTGGTTAGGGTAGGTGCTGCTTTAGATACTCATATAACTGAATTAGTATATGTTGTTGCAACTACCCTAAAAAACAATATCTTATTTCAAATAGGAACACCCACAGAACGTGGGTTTTCTGTGGCAGTTGATCAGCTGGGACTTGTAAGTTAATCAACAGCTAGAGTATACAATGAGTGAAGTGAGCTTTTAACCTTCCCAGAAAATAAATCTTAACTGCATCTAATCTTCAAAGTAAGTAAGATATATAATTTGCATATTTTTGTACATGTAAGACATTACTAACAACATTCCCTTTATCTAACAGTAAGCACATTCTCACTAACACTCACTAACAATATTCAATGCATATTTACTGACTAATTAGCATGCAGTTCATATAGCGTTAAAGGTTTATACTTCTTTTAGCAGTCTATATTGTTGACCTTGTTGTACAAAAGCAATATGTTCCATCAAGAATGCTGTTGGCAACTAGCTTAATAAAGGTTAAAAATAAGAGATTTTCATGCACTTATCATTCTTGAGCCCCCTCCACCAGCATTTTTCTAATAGCTTATACTTACCTTGAAGAAGTAAGTGTGGTGCTGTTAGGTACCACAGCAAAGATCTCCCTAGAGCTGCTTTCAGATATAACTTAAGAAAGGTGTTTTTCAGGAACATGACATTTAGTTATTTAGTAGTTCCACCTGCTACAGGACTCAGTGTGTAATTTCAGATTTGTATTGTGTTACAGCATTACCATAAACATTCAATGGTTGTCTATGACAACTGCTGTATATGAATGGTAAGAGTTCAGTCTGTAGAGTTGCTACATAAAGATTTGTGTTTTTTTTGTTTGGTTTAGAAATTACCTTTATGAAACCAATCTGTGTTCAATGAACAGAGCATTCTTTGCCAGCATTTGCTAGCCATTAGATTAGGGGTCTCAAAGTACCTGCCCGAGGGCCAATTGCAGCCTGCGAACTGGTACTGTGTGGCCTGGCATTTGCGTGAGCACAGCCTGCAGCTCTGTCAGATGCAGACCACATAGCTGATGCTGGCTGTGTCGGCGCTCACTTCTTTTCTGAAAGGATGGATTAGTAAGGTCTACACTAGCAAAAGGTGCACACCTTACTAATAAACCACTGGATCACCAGGGAATGATGTGCCTCCTCGCCTCCTCCTTGCAAAAACGTAAGCAGGTAAGGGGGCTCTTTGTTCTATAGTTTGCTGATGCTGGCGGTGTCGGCGCTCACTTCTTTTCTGAAAGGATGGATTAGTAAGGTCTACACTAGCAAAAGGTGCACACCTTACTAATAAACCACTGGATCACCAGGGAATGATGTGCCTCCTCGCCTCCTCCTTGCAAAAACGTAAGCAGGTAAGGGGGCTCTTTGTTCTATAGTTGTGTGTGTGGGAGTAAAATATTTTATGTGTGGGGGTCAGGTAACTGAGGGAGCATATTATTTTATGTGTGGGTGGGTGGGGAACAGGGGGAGCATATTGTTTTGTGTATTTTGTGTGGGGCGTGGAACAGGGGGGGGCATATTATTTT